CTGGAGGAGAAAATAGCTACAATTACATTCCCAGATCAACACAAACTACTAAATAAATGATCAGAACTAATCTCAAAATGTAGACATGAAAACAATTTTTTACTACATTACTTAAAAATCAAAAACTAAAAATGAACAAGAATAAAAAAAATAAAAAATAAATTAATCCAAATCAATAAACAAGTAAATAAATTAAGTAAATAATAAACAAATGAACAAACCATGAACACAAACACAAGCGAACATAATAATAACAGTTAATAATAAATTTTAAAAAGTTAACAAGCAACGCTATAAATAGCCCAAAAATTGCATCAGGACTCAATTATTTCCACTTAATTCCTCTAGAATAATTTGAAACATAACCATTACCACCCGCCAAACAATACAATAGACTACTCACAATGCATCACTGATATTTTATATATATATATATAAATATATATATATTATAAATTGATTTAAAATGGTTTTTTTTTTCGCTACACAGTTCTAACCATGTTTCAAAAATGGAAGCTAAAAGCCATGAATTTAATTGCAAAATTAAATTCGTGGCTTTTAGCTTCAATTTTTGACTCATGGTTAGAACTGTGTAGCAAAAAAAAAACATATTTTAAATCAATTAATTTATAATATTAATGCTCTGTAAATTTACATTGAGCACTATTTTGTAAAAATAAAAATATCTATAAGAACACCGGATTATATATCTTACTGTTCTTTCTTTTTTATTTATATATATATATATATATATAATCTCAAAAAAAAAACAATGCATATATCCAGATGCTTGTGTTCAAGCATGAAACAGATTGTTGCTGCTGGGTATTGTTCAGTGTCCACTATATATATATATATATATATATATATATATATATATATATATATATATATGTTTGTGTGTGTTCGTGTGAATTGGGATCAAAAATGGATTGCAATTTGATAGAATGATAGGATAGGGAACATTTAAAATTTTAACATTTCACTTTTATTAAAGCTTCATCAGAAAATGAAATATGGAGGTTAAAAGAAAATTCTGGTATTTTTGTTTTTGGTTTGTTTTTCATTGGTTAAACAGATCTCACATGCATCTGTCCTGTCAAGTAGTGTTTGTGCGTATAATTCATGTGTGTTTGCATATCATGATTCTAGTTTGTCTATATTGGATTTGGATGATAATGGGTATTTGTTTGTGGGCATGTGTGCATCTAGTAGGCATTTTTATCCATGTTTGGTTGTTCACATGTTGATTTGAGAATGTTTTCTGTGAGGGTGAAAACATTTAATTTACACTGGTTGTAGTTGTTGGTAGACAGAATTTAGATTCTTTAAGTATGGATTTTATAAAAGTTGGTGATATAATAAAATATGTTCGTGTGCTTATAGATGGCAAAATATTTATCAGAACACACCCTAAGTATTTTCTGTGTAATGAACTATGTTCTTTTCTAATTACAGTGGCATTTATAAAATCAAAGTTATGGCCTGTTTTGTTTCTGTGTATTATGAGCAAGTTTAAAGTGTTGTTCCAACATAAGTTTCTCTTATATTCATAGATGCAGGCTTTTAAATTTCTGGATGTTTTGCCAATGTAACTTTTCCTACATTTCAGGCATTTTTATATCATAAATCCCAATGACTGATATGCTGGATCTATTTTTCTTCCTAACTGTATCTCTGTTTTAGAGATGGTGGTAAAGATCTTTGTGTTGGAGATAACTAGTTTTTCAATTTTTTTTTTTTTTTTTTGTTAGTGTTGGAGGGTAGGATTATCAATTTTGTGTTTTTGTTGGTGTTGCCTTTTTTTTTCTTATTTTGTATGCTTGTTTTCTAGCATTGGGGAAGAAATAATGTGGGTAGTAAATAAATCTAAATGTTTTGTTTTTTTTGTTTTATTTTCAATGTATTTCTCCTCATGTTCTAAGTATTTTGGCCCTACATATTCTAAGGGTTCTGAGGTAAAAGCCTACGATTAGTCCTGATTTTATTTTTCTTTGTGATTCTTTATTTTTAATCTCTTACCTTTTCTTCTTCTTCATATGCTCTTATTCCCTTCCTACTCTTCCTCACTTTTTGCAATCCTTTCTCGTTTATTTTTTTTTATAGAGGCTTCAATGGATTCCAGCTCAAAATACCATCACACCATATATAAATGTGTATACATATTTTTTATAGTGTGTCATTTTTTTGATATTGTCTCAGTGATTAATGCCAGAATGTTGATTGAATACCAGCATGTCACAATTCTAACAATGTTAAAAATGTCATTGAGGTTTGTGTCACAATTTATTTACTTAGAATAACTGATAGGTTTACTGTGCCTTTTTGCAATGTAAAAATAAGACATGAAGTATTCAATTTTAATAATATAAAAGTAATGTTAAAAGTTAAAGTACATATCTAGTCATGAACTATTAATAATAATAAAATCATTCATTAATTAAAACTTTAAATGAAAAATCATTCTATAAAAAAATCTCTTCATTCTTGCTGTTCTCTGTTCAACTCGTACATTTTGCAATATTCCAATTTCAAAAAAAAGGCCAGTATAAAACTATATTTTTAAATACTGACAGAAAATATATTCCTATCTTAAGTTTTGATAATGGGCCTTATTTATTATAATTAATTATAGCATTAACCTGTGATATGATTTTCAGGCTCTTTTAAAAAATGCCACTTGTTGGATTTGCCTACTTAGGTTGTTAACATTAGAAAGTCACATCCCTGGCCATTTCTCTGTGGGGAAATTTAAACCCAGGTTTCATAGTCAAAAAGTAAACATTGTAACAATTCAGCCACATGCCCAAGCCTTGTGACTGAAATTGGGTAGATGGAACTGCTTAGTAGCCATTGATTGTTATACTTGCATGTAAGTCAGCAAGAGTTTGGGTGTACTGGCTTTGTTCCCAAAATTGATTGTAACAGCTTGTGTGCTCTCTTCCAGAAACTAACTATGGTCTGCTCAGCATAGTTTCAGGATAAATAACAGAGCAGACATCTGTAATAGCCAACCTGGCAGATGGTTGAGCTCAGAAACAAGTAGTAGCCAGCTATAATTATTATTATTATTATTATAGAACTAACCAAGTTGAATCTTATGATAGGTAATTTTTTATTGTAAATTTGGTATGTTTTAGAGGAATGTCAAACATAATGTATCTTTATCTAATCATTCTCAAGCAGTTGCTTCTGATCACATCTTTCCAACCATTTCTGTCTGTACCCTGTTTTTTCTCTCTGATTCTGTTATCTATGAATTGATAGAGGTAAGTTCTTGCTTGTCTACCTTTTGATCTTTATGCATAATTTAGTTCCCAGAGTATAAGCTGATACTCAACTTCTTGTTTACTTCTCCAACAATGGCTACTAAACCACATTCACCTTTCACAGATTGTGTCCATAATCTCATAGTTGTTCTTTGGACATATGTTGCTTCCAAATGATATTTATCACTACTCTCAATAGTTGAATGTACATAACCTACCTCCACCCCAGTGATTTTTTTTCTTCTTAATGCTGAAGAACTGCTTGACTCAGATAGGACTGTTTCTTCTGTTGATCTTAAGAATTTCACATTCAGATTATTTACCATTTTTTACTTCAGGTAGTTTTCCTTTTTTTTTTTTTCTTCTTTTTTATAGTACTATCCATGCCGTTGCTATTTTAACACCTCCATTCTCAGGGGAATCCAACCATGATCCCAGATATTAAAAATGATCATTCACTTGATTTAGATCAAAACTTTTTTTCTCTGGGCCACATTTTTGGAATTAAAATTTGCTCATGCAGAAAAGAAAGGAGGTCCAAAGTGAGGGTTAAAGAAAGATAACTGCGGATTCAAAGTCAGAACATTATCGTTGACAACTCTCTCCTCCAATTTGCAGATCCTAGTTACTATATTCTTAATACTTGATAGAATCCAAAAATATCACAATGATAAAATCGGTCAATAATTATTTGTAACTATACATAGTTATCATGCATGGAATTACAAGTAATCCATAATATTTTAAATTTTGAAATCATATTTATTTTTGGCATTTGAATTTTTTTGAAACTGTTTCTAAATCTTTGATTATCTTTCAATCATTTCATTTCATCTTCTATCCTCTTCTGCTGAACCTATGAGGTGTGCTGCACAATTTGGGAATCACTAAGTTAGATTGACACTTTTGTTATAAAATATGCTTGATTAAAAGACATGAATTCATGTCTTTTAAATCAAGCAGATTGTACATTGTCTTTTAATTTCATTTATATAGAGTCCAACTTGTGCTGCAGCAGATTCTTTTCTAAGCAGAACTAAGAGTGTTGCAGCTTTTTAGGTAGATAATTAGGTGAAGACAATGTACAGATATTTTAACGGTTTCAATACAAGTAGGCTTAATTTAAGATTTATCTGCTTTGTTTCTAATTTGGAAAACGAAGGGGAGATAATTCAAATAAATTAATTATAATAATAATTTTATTTGATATAACCTAAATTAAAAGTCTAAGCAGATTATTTGTTAACCTCTGGTAGCTCTTGGATGATCGACATAAAGTTTATCGATCAATAAAACTTTGAAGTGATCACTGCTTCCAATTGTTATAAAATCATTATTTTTGGCTATTTTTTAAAAAGTACTTTGGCACCATTACCTGGCAAGTAAAGTTAGTAATACTATTGGCTCAGGTTCAATCCTTATGAGTAGCTACTTAAATGTTTGGTAAGATCAGGTGAACAGAGATCAGTATTGATGACAAGATAATTGGCTTCAATTTTATTATAAGTAGCATTATTGCCTTCTTTTTTGACTGTAAGGATTCTTTTATGCTTATAAAATCCTTAAAAATGTCCTTTCAAACCCTATTAATTCATTGTGAATAATATTTTAATTAAATAAAATGGTCCAGTTTCAGTCATAGGCAATGTCTGAATAACTAAAACCATTGAGATGGTATGAAACTCAGTTTTTAATATTTTACATTTTTTTTTTTTTTCCACTTATTTACAGGATATTGGAGATGGATGGTGGGAAGCCCGAAGTCAGTCAGGAAAGCAAGGCCTTATTCCTGAGTCTTATGTTGAGGTAAGTCTTTTAATTTTATTTTTGAGAAAAGTTAAATTCTGAAAATAGTTTTCAATATTAAATCTATTTGATAAAAAGCAAAGTTGAAATTTCTGATTTTTTAAAATTTTTTTTTCTTCATCCTATTCTCAGAGTTGCTCATCTTCACTTATTATAGGCATCCTCTTGTATATAAATATAAGTAAATATAAATAAAGGATGTCTAAAAATTTCATTTGATTGTTAGATAGTATTAGCACTTCATTTTAACTAAATTCAGAAAAATATTTGATTGTATGCCTATTATCTCTGTATACATTTTTTTACAAAAATGTTATCAAAATTGGTACATTTTTTATTTAATGGTTCTAATATTCAAAACAGAAGATTTTAAATGCCAAAAAAAGACTTGTGCACTTTATGAAGAAGGTACTGTAACTGATGAAACATGTCAAAATTGGTTGACAAAGTTTCATACTGAATTTCTTGCTAAACAATACTCTATGATTGTGCTGATAAGTTGAGATTGGTAGTGATTACATAAAAACATGAGAATAATGAAGATTATATATGGGAGGTAGCCAACATGCTCAAAATATCAAAATTAAACATGTGTAGTGCTTTTACAGGGAGGGTCAACAGAAAAAAGATTAGTGAACCTCTATTCTCATGTGATTTGAAATTTTGTTACTTAATGAAAATACTTTTTTTCTTTTTTTTTTTTTAATAAATTGAGATGGAATGTGGAATAGCAAATGCTAAGGGTATTTTCTTAGTGCTATTTTCCTTTGTGACCCCCCCCCCACCTTCTAATGGGCCATTTAGTCCTTAACAAGTAAGGTTTCAATGTCTGGGCCCCCAGCTCAGGCATGAAGTTTTTGACTCTAGAAGGTATTCTGCTTTGATTTCTGGACAACCACCTCATTTAGTAACCCTCTACCTTGAGTGGCTCTTAAGCCACGTATTGGGTGAAAAAAAAATAGTAAAGAAAAAAAAAAAAAGTTTAATTTCTCCTAAAGATTTATAGAAAAGAAAGCCTGAGTTTTACTTTAACAGGTGTGGGTTAAGCTCTGATTAGGGGAAATGACTAATGGGAAACTTTTACGTAGTCACTAAATATGACTCATTTACAATATATATTTGTTAGTTTTAGTTACAAGAACAACCTACTCAAGTCAATGTGCTGTGGTGATTTGAGTTTATGGGAGATTTGTGAAAATTCTCTTACTTTGACCCAAACGCATTGAGATAACTGCTTGAAGAAATTTAAATAAAGACGTATGCATTATGAATAAGTCTATATATGTCTATGCCACAATGTGATAGAATATAGTACTTCCTTTTTTTTTTTTTTTTTTTTTTTTTTTTTTAATACATGATAAAATGTGACTTGTGTGTTCTTTGCTTCAGGATTGCATTACCACTGAAATGTATAATAGAGGTCTGATTAAATATTGTGGATAGACAATCTAAATTCAAAAAATTTAATAACAGTTATTTTATTAAGCTACTGAAAAATTTATACACTCTCATTTTATATTATTTTTAAATTTCTTTCATCATCCTTCGACCTCCCTATGGTTCTGTTGGAATTCCTTTGACAATCCTTTTCCACATTGTTCACTCCTTTGTTGCTGTCCCCAGATCCCCAATGTCCAACTCTGAGTCCTGAGCTATGGTGTGAGAAGATACTTCCAGAAGGATGCCATAGAAGTAAGGATAAAATGACTTCTCTGTCCACTCGGTGGCAGTGGCCAGAATATTAGTTGTTTTTGCTTGAGCTTAAGAGAGATTGATCTCAGTTCTCTGTAGATTGTGTTCAGTGTTGTATAGCATCCCCAACTAATGTTCTGGATTTTTCTTAGTAGATTTGTATATGTTCCATTTAGTCATCTTTCAAGATAAACAGATAATGTCTGCTGTGCCTGATCCATGTAATAGGACTGGTTCAATCAATGTTAGAAAAGTTTGCACTTTTAGGGAGAATGGAAGATTCAAGTGCCAAATCTTGTCAAGTTTGTTACTTGCATCCCATTTCTTTACTTGGTGTGTTGAACCACTGATCTAGAATGGATAATCAAGAAATTAGTCGTCAATATACTACAAAAATACATTTTTCAATCAGTATGTTCTTGTGAAAAACAATAAGAAAAATTGCACTTATATTTTTTATGAGGGGGTGCTGAAAATTTATCAAAACCCCCAACACCATTTCTCTCAAAATCTGACCATATGATTTTTTTTTATGGGCCTTGGTTAGGCTAAGAACTTTCCAGCATTCTTTAATATTGGTAGAATGTGGCTTACCAGTTTTTCTTATTTTTTTTCCCTTTTTTTTTTTTTTTTTTTTTTTCTCTTGTGGATGATCATAATTCTCCACAACTTCCCATCTTTTATTGTTCTTAGCAATATATTTTCCCTAATGACTCTTTCCAATACTTGTTTTGCTCAAACTTGTCAAATACTCCGTAGTAAAGATCTGCTTTCCTCTCCTTGTCATGCCTTTGATAGGTCTTGTGAGTGTAAAATCAACTAGCCTTCTTTTTTTGTTATATGCTTTCCAAATTGCAGCTATCTCTGGTTATTAAGTTTCTTTGTAGTTCCTATTCTTGTGAGAACTTTCTCATTCATTGAATGTTCTCTTTCTATATTAACATTGCTTGAAAGAAGCCTCATAGAATATATCTAAATCATGTTTGCATGAACACACACACAGACAAAATCCTGTTTTATCTCTTCAGACATCAAATCAATTTGTTAAAAATATAGTATTGAAGAACTGCTGGGAATAGAATGAAATGTTTAAATTGCTCATAAATCCCTCACCTGATATCTTTGAGATTAAAGGCAATGGAGCGAAGAGATCAACTGCACTTGACAAAGCAGAGTGCATAGCCAAAACACAAATACATTTGGTTTGGTTTTTAGCACAGATAATCTTGTGTTTGTGTGACTTAAAAGGTCATAAACAACTTCCCAGCCTCTGGGTGGGTATAGGATGTAATATAACACAAAACATTCTGAATATACATTTGTTTCTAACAATAATTTTCTTGCATTCAGCTTTTTTCCTTCCACCTACCACTGTCTTGCTCTCTTTACTCTTTCCCTCCATATATATATATATATATATATATATATATATATATATATATATATATATATATATATACACACACACACACACACACAAATAATGATTTCTCCAACACTGATGAGCAGTGTGTCTATGAATTTTTGAAGTTGGACAAAAGAAGTCAATTAAGTTTTTAATTTATTCACACATGCACACTTTAATCTGGAACAGATTTGGACATGAAGTGAATCTTTATAAACTTTGAATTTTGATTGAAGTAACTATTTTCACAGACAAAATGTCTTGTCACCAGTATCCTATAATGTTTAACAAAGAAGTGATTGTTTAGATGAACACTTGGCTAAGATACTCTGCTATAACTACTTAGCCTATACAAGCAGCAATTGCTCAGAGCTTGACAAGATCCATATATATATATATATATATATATATATATATATCGGATGTAACAGCAAAACTGTCCAAATGTTAGATTAAGCTTTGAACTGTTGTATCTTAGAAATGATAAAGATATCTTACTGGAATTCTCTTATAAAAACACTATTGTCCTCTGCTTTGAGCAGTAAGAAAATATAATTACTCTCCAAGCTTAACAGAAGACTCATGATGAAATCGATCATAAATGAAAATGACATGTTCATCATTAATTAATCATAGGTAAGAATTGGCGATTGAAATAAAGTTTTTTATATATATATATATATATATAAAAATTCCAGGATCATTTTCCAACTTATTCAAGATGATCTTTGCCTTCTCTAATCTTCTAACTTTCTGGAATAACAAGATGCCTCATATGTTTCACATATGATTTCATTTTCAAGTCTTTTTTCACTACTCTTTGGACTGTCACAGCTGAAACTTCACATGAGAATGTGCCAAACATCTTATAGACTGAGTTGGATCTTTTCTAATTGATCTCTTTAGTTCTAAGTTGAAATGATTATCCTTCTTCCTGTTGTGACCTCCTGATCCAGTTTTCCTCTCTACTGTTCACTCTTTTTTAAACTTATTCATCGTTCTCTTGATGGTTCTTGAATGGACTTTGAAGATGGAAGCCAGAGTATGAATGTTGGTACCATTACTGAAGGTCTGAATGATGTTTTTCCTCTCACCATTCCTCAGCTGAGAAGACTGGCGCTGACACAAAAAGATTTTAACCTGTTCTCTTTCTAACTGAATAACTAAAAGGGTTTTTCAGTGATTCTTATGACAAATTGTATCAAGATAGTTAAATGTCCTTATCTGGAAAAAAGAAACTCAATTAGTTTAGTGTTTTTTTTTTAGATATTAATCATTTGTGGGATGGACAATTATGCTGTTACATTATTTGGACAATTTTGCTGTTACATCCGGAATATATAGGGAAATTGTATGACAAAGTGGAAAAAGTTTACTTGTGAGGCATTTCATCTTTCAGGACTTCATTTACATGTTAAAATTTAGTCTGATGAAGTCCTCAAGGATGAAACGCATCACAAGTAAATCATAGAATTTCCCCAGTATTGTTTTTAATATATATATATATATTATTATTTTTATTCTTTTATATATATATATATATATATACACACACACGTAGCTGAAAAGAATTTTCCATGATCAGAAATGGTCCAAAGAACTTCAATAGGAGAAGACTCCCTTTGACTATGAATTGCTCAATACCTTGTTGGAGCTGTTATTTCTCCATTCTTTTTCTTGTATGTCATACAATACTGTCCTACATTAAAAAGGTGTGCTTTCTGTTCCAATGACACTCATATTGACTACTTTTTATTCTTTTTCATTACATGATGACCTCTTCCTGATAAACCAAGTTGGCCAAAATCAAGTCTAATTAATGGCAGACATGCACCATTTACACTTAAAAGGAGAATTCAAATTATACCAGCTCATTTCACCTTCAGATTGCTTTTAAAATTTGTCAATTTCCATGCTTCTGGAGTAAGAGGCATTGTGCTATTATTTCACTTGTATTTTCATAGGAAATTGTCAGTGTTAAATGTCAACTCTACATAAAACAATATCATGTCTCTTTACATAAAAATTGAATAGTTAGGATAGGTTTAGTCTTCTATAGAAAATAAACAAGACCTATAAAAACTTCATAATATATATTTGTAATATAGGAGTAGAAGACAAAATAATTAAGCCACTTTGTAAATAATAACTTTTCCAATTACAAATATTTTTTTTAGGCCAGCTGATACAAACCCAATATTATCTTTATAATATTTTTTTCTTGTTAGCTAGAAAGAATTTCACAAAAGACAATTATGAAAGCTTGACATAGTTTCCAATGATGGGAAGATACATTACTCAATATTCTAAAGTAACTTTCAATTGTGTCACTGAATAGCATATACTTTTATTTATTACTGCAACAGAATCATTAATGCACTTATTGGTACTGTATGGGAATGTACTTTAGATAGGTGCAAAGAAACATCAATACTTATTTCATTAGTAAGTTTTAGTACTGCAATTGTATATGAAATGCTTATTCGAACACCTTTGGTACCAACCCACAATATCTGTCAACAAAGTTGGCACTTTTAATCTGTTAAAAATATCCTTTATTTTCAGCCTCCCCCTTCCCTCCAATGGTGTAACTCTTAGGAAATATTGTTAAGTAAAACCTCATCCTAGCCTCTTATATATATATATATATATATATATATATATATATATATATATATATATATATTGAAAGTTTAAAAGCTGCCTTATTGAATGGCATTTAAGCTAGCTCCTGTGGAGGGCTCTTGATTAGGCCTTCATAGCAAAAGGTAGAGAGGAGTAGAAATAAGGCAATAATAGACTACAGAAGAACTCAAAATTGATCACTGCATTTAAGTATTGCATTAATATTTAATCTTACCTTTTAAAAGTTCAGCAATAATTCTTCTGCCATCACTTAATTTAAAGACAATTTGATGTACGTAGGTCCTTATTTTCCGTACAAATAATTATTTTTATTTTATGGGTGACTTTTGCTGGATTTCACAATTAATTTTGATTATTCCTAAATTTATTTCCAAGTTATAAAAATTGTTATCATACAAAAAGTTTGTAACAAAAATATCACATAAAAATTTGCCTAAACAATTGCAGTAATGAAAACTTGGGAATCAAAAATTTCAGAATTGCAGGTCCAGATCTGCCCTGGAATGATTTTAATTTACTGACAGTCAGCCTGATTTCAAAATGGTATATGTTGGGCTTTGGCCTCTAGGAGTAAAGTTGAAAATGCAGACAATTTTATTTTGAAACACTGTAATTTGAGAACAGTAATTTTTTCACTTGAACATGAGCTATTGAAAGTTAGAATTGTGTCCCTTTTAATTGTTTTTATCAGTAGAAGTCAGGCTGGTGGAATCCAAAAAAAATCACAGTAATGAAAATGTGGGGATCCAAAATTTCAGGATTGCGGGTCCAGATCTGGGCCAGAATGTTTTTAAGTTGTTCACAGTTGGCCTGATTCCAAAATGGTACAATATCTTGGGCCACAGCCTCTAGGAATAAAGTTGAAAAAGTGACACACTGACATTTGCATTTATTTTATCTAATATATATATATATATGTTTGATATGTTCCTTCTTAGTTGTATTAGAAATATGATTTAAGATTTCTTGGTAGTTTTCAGAAGTAATAGATGATTCCAGTTTGTCTTCAATTTTATTTTTTTCAGTGGAAGATATTTGATCTAATCCTTCAATGTTTTGATCTCTCTTTCTAGGAGAGAACGTCGACATTTTGTTGCTTTTTCGCTACAGGATCATAATTTAAATAAAGTTTATTTTGGCAGCAATAATTCTCTCAAACATGTTTTGTTAAATAATATGGATGGTCCCTTATGGAGAAAGACACCTTCTTTAATGTTGGCTCGTTCTCTTTTATTAAAACAGCTTCCAGAATTTGGAGTCTTTCTTTGCATTATGTCCTTTATAAAATTGAGGGCCTTGTCCATATAATTTAAGAAAACATGTTTGAGAGAATTATTGCTGCCAAAATAAATCTTATTTAAATTATATGATCCAGCATTTAACAAAGACACTAACACAACAAAATTTCAACATTCTTGTAGAAAGACAGCCAAAACATTAAAGAATAAGATAAAATATCTTCAAATGAAAAGAAATAAAATTAACAAACTGTCTGCTACTTCTAAAAACTACCAGGAAATCCTAAATTATACTGTGTGTGTGTATATATAGATGTAAACAAAACTTCATATTCAAATACTACCTATTGAAAAACACTAGAGACTTTTGTTCTAACTCAGTAATGTTCAATTAGATGATTTATATAAAATATTACATTTAAAAACCCCATTAGGAAAATTAGAAAAAAAATTAATTCTTTTAACTTTGTTTGGTTTCCTGGATAAGTTAAGTGATTAGTTCCTGTCTGGCTGCCATGGTTAGATATGCAAGAAGAGTGCTTCTCTTTTTGGCATGGACAAAATGTTTTTTTTTTTTAAATTTTCTGTTTTGTTATTTTATATATATATATATATATATATATATATATATAAAATACTAGTTTGATACAAAAGTTTTCAATATTTTTTGACAAAATATTTTCTTCACCTAAAGTCATAGCATCATAATTCGGTTCTCAAAGTATTTTCCCTGTTTAACTTTCTATGACCTTATCTCACTTTTTAGTCAAATTGTTTACTCCATCATAAATGAACCATAAGCAGTAACCAGACAAAGGTATGTTGCAGGAAGTGAAACAAATCTGGAGCTATTTTATGTGTAGAACTTCCCACCTCAGCTCAATGATCATTTGCTGTATCATATTTGCAGCATGAGAACAGAAATGGCCATGCATCAAAATTATTCAGGAAAAGTAGTTTTTATTCTAAATATTCATTCAAACAAGCCAATTGCTTCCTGTAGCATTCGACAGTCATAATCTGCTCACATTACAGCAATTTGAAATAAAGAATTACCTTTGAATTCCCCAAAAGCACAACATTTCTATGTCTAGACGAGTCTGCTTAGGCTGATATTGTAACTTGTTCTGGATCAAGATAGGATTTTCTTCAGTTGGAATTTTCATAAATTAATCTTCCATTGTTAGAAACTATCTTGGCCAAAAATTCTGGGGTTTTTTTTTATGTCAGGCAAGATAAAAAAATTTTTTAAAAAGTCAGGTGTTTTAACATTAACCAATATTTTTTTTTTTAAGTTTATGGAACCATTTTTCTGACACTAGTTCCTTCCACCCCCTTAAGGCTTGTGAATGATTTTCTGTAGTTGACTGGCTGTATCAGCAATAAACCTAAGATTTCAGTAAAATTGTACAAAAGATGGCAATGATAACTTATGTCAACAATTTATAATCTTATTAGATGAAATTTGATATTTAGTTAAAATTTATAACAGTTTGCATTGTAAAAGAGTTGTAGGTAGAATTTGATTGGTTAGCCAATCTCAATGGCATTTCAAAGAAATCTCTATGTAATCCTTTAAGGCTGGAAACACCCAAATACACCAAATTTCACACGATTACAGTTCTGGTATATCTTAGTGTGCCTGAATTTGGGTAGCACTGTATTTCAATACAAAGAGTTAACATCAATTACATAATCAACTCAAGGTGTCAGATACAAATTTTACAATGTTGTAGAATTCTAAAATCATGTCTATTAAAACCAAGAAGACTAAATTTAGTATTATTTGAAAGAAAAATCAATTTATTTTCATACAAAAACAACTTGTCATGTTTGTTTTTCAACAGCTTTTGAAATATGTAGATTTAATTGCAATAACCTCATGTATTCATATTTTTTGACAATTATGTCAGGACCCCAAGAATTTAATTTAAGGGCAGAATTGATTATTAGAACAATAGGAATTTGCTAGAAAAGGTATTAGTCATAATACTGTATGTGTGTATCTGTAGACTCTGATGACAAAATAAAAACGAAGAAAATTTTAAAAAGGAGGACATTATCTAATTAATATTATTTGGTGCGTAATAGGAAAAACAGCTAAAAAGATTGATGTCTTTTGGCACCAGATTTATTAATTGGCTCATTTATTCATAATTGTCATTAATTTTGGGTGTGTTTTTATACTGCTGGAATATTAAATCTTTCATCCTTACAAAAGTTCAATGCAGTCCCCTATATCAGAATAATACTTATTTTAATTCAAAATAAAATGAGGGAAATATATGAACGCATCTTGGCTACAATATAAAATTGGATTTTTATGTATGTGTATTGTTTTCATTTTTGTATTAATATTTTGTAGATTGTTTCCCTCCCAGAGCCTTCTTTCCCACCTCCACCACCACCAGCACCTTCCCAGGTTCAAGATAACCACTATGGATATTCCTATTATGATGATAAACGAAGCAGCATCAGCCAACCCATTCAACAATCGGCACCTCCCAAACAGCCCAGTTTTGATGATTGGGATGATGATGATGACTGGGATGATTATGATGATGATGATGCATCAAGCTGTGGAACGGCACAGGTGAAATAATTTTTTTGGTTGATGCTAAGAACTCATGTAATGAATTATTTTCTTTTCTCTCTCTCTCTCTCTCTCTTTTTTCTGTCTTCTCATGTTAATGAAGAAAATATTGAAACTAACTATAGAATATCCATTTCAGAATGTCACAAACAATAATCATCATCTTGATACCCAGTCAATACAGTCTCATGATACAAAGAATTCTGGAATTCATGCAACTGGCTATGGTACCGTGAAGAAGAATTATAGCAGGTAATAAACATTAGATTTGGCAAAAAAAAAAAAAACTTCCACTTTGAATGTTGGTTGGTTGTTAGTAAATGTAATGAAGAGATATTGTCTTCTATAAAAATATAAAAACAAAAAAAATAGCGTATATACTTGTGTAATGTGTGATTTCATGTATTATGCAACACCTAAATTTTCACTTATAAAAAATGATTTTATCATGTATCTCATGTATCATGTGAGTTCCTTTTTTTTTGAAAGACCAAATTACAATAGACTAACCTCTTTTCCTCTATCTCTTTATCCCATCTTCTAGTTAAATAAGTCAAAAAAGTAAAAGAGAATGATAAAAGTATCGTTAATAACGTTATACTAATTACGTAAATGCATATTGCATAAACCACTGAATGAGAAACAGCTAAACATCCTATAAACATAAGCAATGGTAAAGATGTATATTTACTATGTTTGTATTTTATAATATGTGAATATTACATATTACATTTATTATTGGATACAGTTAAATTAGGTACCTCCATGAGATCACTAAAAAAGAGCATAGTATGATGAAAAAGAAGCCAAACTTGACGAAAACAAAATTTTATCGTCTAAATGTTCATGTTATTATTAAGAGGAAAGATCAAAGTATTTTGGGGGTATTTTTTTACATTTTTTAATCATTCCGAGCACGTCCAAAATTTTTGTTAAAAATCTTGTTTTTTTTTTTTTGTTTTTTTGTTTTTTTTTAGTCAGCAAAATTGACAGATAATCGATTATGGCATCCATTTTTATCCATTTTATAAAAAAGATGAAAATCTCACTTTGAAATTAGTTTAAAAATCAATTATGATTTTTTTCGAAACTTATTTTAAGAAAATCAGAAAATATAATGTTTATTTAAAATATTTTGAACCAAGGTTGACTTAGCTTCTGCGACAAAAAGATGTAATTTGAAAATAAAACAAAGCAGGTCATAACCTTTCGCGTCACTTGACAGATGATGAATGATGTATTGACAGATTTACATGATCATAATTTGTTCTACGGAAGCCAAAAAGTGAAGTTATTTAAATTTAAGTGAACAAATTATTTACCCTGTTATTTTTAAGGAAAAATTTCAGCGCTCTATTTTTTTTTTTTTTTTTTTGTACTTAGCTTTCACCTTTACATTTACAATGCTTTATGGAAAATATATTATAAAGAAATTAAAATAAGACTGTTAAGAGTGAGATTAAATTTCATAAGAAAAGGTATCTAATTAATTTATAGGTACCTTATGAAATTTTATCAGAAGTGTACATAAAATACTATAATTTTATGTACATTTATTATATTTTACTGTGTTATTTGTATTTCCATTCATTTTATTATTAATTTTGATATTTCACTTATGGAAAAATGTCATAACTGAGATTGATATAAAAAGATCATATAAATTTCATAAGATGATACTGATACTTGTAGGTACCCTTCTCAGTTGAAATTGAAAAATCAAATTAACTTCTCCACACGTTTCGCAAAAATAAAGGCCTTAACAGTGGAGAACAATGCTTAACTCAAATAACGCAACTTAATTGTATTCTGATTGGTCTTCCATACTTTATAATTACAGTCTGATTATAAACACAAAATTACATTTCTTTATTACTGCGGGTCTTCTGATTAGTCAAAATGATACAATTTACAACACGCTAAAAAAGATCTATTTCATAAGGACACTTAGGAAACCCGATGTGGCTTTTAACTAATTTTATAATATTTTAACAACTTAAATGTAAAAATCTATTATAATTAAAGAAATAACAAATAATTGTATTAAAAATTCATTTTTCATCAAAAAAACTTTTTGCTTTCAGAAAATATTTTCCATATTCATAAAAACAACTAAAAGAAAATAAAAGCATTTGAAATTAAATATATTTGTTTTATTGAGTTTTGTATGTTACAATTCAGAGCTGATTTTCAGGTAGTGCGGATCCAATTAAAAAAAAAAAAAAATGATTTGCATTCCTCAAAGCCTTGTGCTTTTAACTATTGTAATCACTAAACCTGATGCGATAGAATTTCTAGCGTTTTCATAAATTAGTTATGGGGGGGTAATAAATATAAAAAAAATATTTCTACCATGACTTTGATAAAAAAAAAACTTTATAATAATTTCAATCATCTGTGAATAGTTTCTGAAAGTTTCATTAACATCCGACAATTATTTTTATTTTTGCAAGATTTTCCAAATTAATGTGTGTCATACAAAAGAAACGTGCTAAGAATTATCTATGTTATTTTACTAGTTCTGATGATACAAATAGAAACAAGGTTTTTTTAATCAAAATTTAGAATGTTCTCAAAAGAAAGAAAAATTTTTTAAAATAATTAAAAAAAAAAAAAAAACTTTGGTCTTTCCTCTTAATGATAACATGAATATTTAGACGATAAAATTTTGTTTTCGTCAAGTTTGGTGTCTTTTTCATCATGCTATGCTCTTTTTTTAGTGATTTTGTGGAGTTACCTAAGTTAAATAAAACATGAGTTTTATCAAAATCATGTTTATTTTAAATACAGCTGTACTTTTTGACTACAGTAAATAGATATATAGTTTAGTCAACAGCATAGCTAAGGCCAGCAGTACATATGTTAATTTTATATCTCATGTATGATGCAACCTCCTTAAAATTAGCTTCAAAATTAAGTCTTCAAAATCTGCATGATGCATGAGCATTTGTGGTATATATGTAAAAAGAAATATAAACCAAAAATAACTTATTAATTGCAGTTTGATTTTAGTTTTTGTTTTGTTTTTTTTTATCTCCATTTATTTATTATTTTTAATTTTGTGTTCTTAATTATCAATTTAATCTTTATATCCTCATTTTTGCTTTCAAGCTCATATCTGGCAAAAAAATTCACTTTGGTTGGTTGGTGGGAAAATCGAATGAATATAAATCAAATTGAATCTTCCATAAAGTAGAAAAAACTTATTGCAGTTTACTTGGTTTTTGCCACTGTTTATTTTGATAATTTTATGTTCTTTAATTATCTCTTGAATCTTTTTATATTTTCATTAGCTTACAAATTTGTGTTTCTTGTACTGTTTTTTTGTAATTTCTATAATTTTGAAATCCACTTATCTTCTCCACGAACATCTTGAGAACTGAATCAGTTGCTTGTTATTAGCATGTTGGTTACACCCAGTAATGTAGCCTGTTTCAGGGTCATTTAGATGCCTGGAAATCTTTGTGAAAATAGTTTTACAGTATTTATATAGTTCTTTTAGCATAAAAAAAAAAAATGAATAAAACCACCCAGCAAAGTATCTTGATTTGTCTGTTCAAACAAATGTTTCCTAATGGTCTGTGTTTTTGTTGAGATAACTATTACTCTTATGGGTGATTTGTTTATTCAAATTGAATAGTTTTTTTTTTGTTGTGTGCTTTTTCTTTTTCTTTTTTTTTTTTTTTAATAATGTTTTATATATAAACTTTAACACTTTCTTTAACAATCAAAATACTGTTGTGTATATAGACGACCTCAAACATGAACTGGCTATTGTCAGCCATTTAGAGTCTTGATGGAAATGATTTGTTGATTAGTTTCTTCTATAAAAGATAATGACAGTATGAATATAAATATTTGACCTGGTTAGAAGTTACAGGATGGCTTTGTTCAAATTCTTCTTGAAATAGAAGAGATTTAATCTTCATTTTGTGATGCAAAACCAACTGTCGGAAGCTTACATTTATGACATACACTGAAATTATTGCTTTATGATTACAAAATATTGACTCTAAACTTCTTGCTTCTGTTCAAATCTACTCTATTTGAAAAGTAAAAAACCAACTTTTATTTAGTATCTACTAATGATAGATATGTGAAGACTAAGTTGTAACAGTGGTTCCATTTTTTTTTCTTCTGGCATGCAGAGGTGTGGAAGTGTCTTTAAGTGTTCTGGGGAATATATTCTTAGCTCTTCCCTGGCAAAATAAAACTCCTTAAAATTTTATAAGCAAATAGTTGTGTGGTATTTATTCTTTAGCATTCTGCATTATTAATATTACTTCACTTTCCATTATTTTTCAAGTCCTCTCAATTACAGTATCCTTATTGTTAATTTCACTTAAAGTTTTCTGTTGCCATTGACAAAATGACAATACGACTATGAAATTTAAACATCCTATTGTTCAGGGATCAGTCACTTTCAGTGGCAAGATAAACTTTTTGTACAGCAAAGGAAGTCACATAGAGAATGATAAAAGGTTAAGGACAAGTGAAAAAAATTAACAGGCTAAATTTTTCTGTCACTTAGCAGGAATTTAATAATAAAAATAGATATTTAAGTAAATAAATGCAGTTTGTAATCTAGTTTGTGAATGACTTCCACCATAAATTAATTTCTAAATATGGAAGTGATCGTACAGCCCAAGAGGATTATCTTCAAGGGCAGTAAAAATGACCATATTTGGTGACAGATCATTTTATTCATCTGTCAATGGTGTGATATGACTGAGGACTGGAAATCTTGCCAAGAGGAATTTGGACTAGCCAATCCATCTTACCTAATATGGAAATACCAGATTTAAAAACTTAACTGGAAGGATTCATGATAATTGTCTTTGTCTGAAGCAGAGGAACCTTTGTTGTTTTGGTTTTGTCGTTTTCATCTTTGATGATGAGACATAAAGACAGCCTAATCTACTTTGTCACTTTCCTCATCCAATCCAATTGCCACCTTGACAAAGTAAATCAGCATGAAGAAAAAAAAAAAACAAAAACAAATCACTAACATGTAAACCAGACTAAATGGCAACTAATACCTGTTGATATGGTTTCTTTTTCTTCTATACCCCTTTTTCTAACTATTGATCCCCAAGTAGGATTGAATAGATGGAGTCAAACAAACAGATCAAATTTTGATATATGTGAGCTTTAATGTGTAAATTGACCAAAAGAATATGGTGGAACTGCTTCACAACTCAAGACAACAACCAGGCCAACATGGGGCATGGTTGACAAGGCAGTGAAGTGAG